ATATTTGTCAGACTCTTATGGTGCATCGCACAATTGTAAGGTCCCAGTGACCGAATAAATTTGTTTTTAAAAAACTCAACCTGCGTATCGAATCTTTTTAACTTGCATCTTAGATGTACCGCGTTAGCGAAATATGCGTCACAGTTGTCTTGAATCAATTATATGGCCACTTAGGATGAGTATTTCAATAAAGAATAGTATTATGAGATATATGCTTATTAAGCAGCTTTAATTATATAAATACGAGCACTAATCATAAGATGGGACAGTATTTAAGTCGCTTTGCTTCAGTAAATATTGTGTGTTATTTTTGAAATAAAATTGGCTCGGGCAGCAGGATCCTTTTCCGCATGTTTTTGAGAAACTTTCTGTTGCAAGTAGTGTACCGGATTTCTGAAGCGAATCGATCGTGATTTGTGCGCTGGATTACCCTTTTGGATTGTCGTTGGATTAGATCGACCGTACGATACGCTTCCGTTTCAACGGTCTAACCCAGCATCCACTACAACCAGTACCACAGTTTTTACCGAATTGTTCCTTATAGTTGTGACTCCTATTAGTTAAGAAGTGAAAATTTTAAATTTGTTTAAAAAAATTTGATGAAGAAATTTAGAAATAGATTATCGGATATTACTTATTTTCAAAGAAATGATTCCACAAATAATCAACCGCGAGATATAGACAAACTTTACTCTAATATTTCTCTATTATATTGTATAGGCGAAAATAATTCTACTTCTCTAAATCAACCGTTAGTTTGCTAAAAACCTTTGATGGTACCCCTTCTCGTTTGGATTCTTTTAAAAGACAAATCGACACTTTCCACGCAACATATTTTACCAAGTATCGCAACAAGAATATGTTATTTTGGCAATTAAATCAAAAATACTAGGAACAGCCGAAGACTCTTTATTAACTCGACCAGACCTTACAACTTAGCCGAGATAAGATTAGCTTTAACGCAAAAATTCAGTGATCCAATCACTCGTGCAAATCTTCAGCAACAATTAATATTTTTTTCCAATAAAAACGAATCTACTCAAGATTATATCAAAAAACTCAAAGCTTTAGTCACCAAAATTAATACAAAAATATGTTCTGAAATTCAAAATACTGAAGCGAAGGCAATATTAATTTCTCAAAACGAATTAACAGCAACACAAAATCTTTTAGCGAATATTTCCAATGAGTTGGAAACGTTTCTTATAGTACAAAATCCTCAAAATCTAGATAATGCTATTGACATTATTATAAATTACGAAATCCTAACAAGTCAAAGTCACTTTAAAAATAATTATCTACAAAATAATAACCTAATGCGGCACAATATACAGAAACCAATAAATCATATTTTGTCAAACACCCAAAGGGTATTCAACCCACCAATTCAACCCTATAGACAATCGAATGTACCCCTCAAACCCCCTCATCAGATGTCACATCAAAGTCAATTCTTCAAACCACAAAATCAATTTTTCAAACCTCAGAATCAATTCTTTAAGCCACAAAACCAATTTTTCAGGCCACCGTCTCAGCATGCCCACACCTCTAATCAAAACAACCCCCAGAACTCAAAAAATCAATAGCCCAACCAATGTCAGGTGTAAATATACAACCGATAAAGCCATTTTCTCAAATAAGACCACAATATAATCATTTCGCAAGTAGAAAACATCGGCATTAACCCCGAAACTAACGAACCCCGAGCCGACTTAACTGACCTTAACGAATACGATTATTACTGTAATTACGACTCAAACTACGAACATGTTGAACAGTTCGAAGAGGAAAATAGCATCATTGGTCAATTAACCCCTGTTTAACCCTAAATAGCAGAAACTTATTTTCCCGAATTAATTAAACCTTCAAACATCTGCAGGTTCAAAGAAAGCCGCACATAAAGCAACTATCCCGTTATTTACATGCTTTGGTATCACCGAACCAATTGAATTTATTCTATACGCCATTTCATGAACATTTTGACTGTATTTTAGGAATCAAAGATCCTTGTAAACTAAATCTAAATATTGATTTAAAAAATACAAAGTTAAAAAACCACTATATAGAAATTCCCTTTCAATATAGACAAAATTTCGACGACTACGTAGTAGAAATTCCCCCAAAAACTTTATTTAATTTAGAAACAGTAGTTCTCATTAGTCTAATGATAGAAAACCGAACATTTCAAAAAATTGATATTGGAAATTTAATACGACACGAACGTCTAAATTCGGAAGAGAAGGAACAGCCTTTTAAATTCGTAAGAAAATTCGAAAATATTTTACATAAACCAGGAGATACTTTAACTTTTGCAAATCAAGTAAAACACACAATGAAAACTAGCGACGAAATTCCCGTACATGCGAAATTATATAGGTATCCGTATGCGATTTGGTCTTAAAAACGCGCCCTCTACATTTCAGCGCGCAATGGAAAATGTATTGCGTAAATTGGAACGAAAAATATGTCTTGTGTATATGGACGACATCATTATATACTCGACTAGTCTTCAGGAACACTCATTAAAATTAGCCTTTGAACGACTTGCATCCTTCAATATGAAGATACAATTGGATAAATCTGAATTCCTAAAGAAAACAGTGGAATTCCTGGGACACGTGATAACACCGGACGGAGTTAAACCAAACCCCAGAAAAATTGAAGCCATTAAAAGTTTTAAAATTCCCAACACCCCTAAAGAAATTAAATCCTTTCCTGGTCTTGTCGGATATTACAGGAAATTCATAAAAAATTTTGCTAAAATTACTAAACCATTGACGCATTCCTTAAAGAATAACGTTAAAATAACTCATGATAAAGCGTTGATTACGGCATTTAGTAAACCCTTCGTTTTAACAACAGACGTTTCAGACTACGCAATCGGAGCAATTCTTTCACAAGGTACCATTGGAACTGATCTACCGATAGCATACGCTAGCCGAACGCTTAATTCTGCAGTGCTTAACTATTCTACGATAGAAAAAGAACTTCTTGCCATCGTGTGGGCTTTCGATGTTATCTATTTGGTAGAAAATTCACTATAGTAAGAGATCATAAACCTTTACAATGGCTCTTCTAGATTAAAGAACCTAATTCAAAATTTGTTAGGTGGAAACTAAAGCTTCAGGAATATGAATACATTATTCAATATAAAAAAGGCAAACAGAATGTCAACGCTGACGCCCTCTCACGACCACCAAAAGAAATACACCCTGTAGACCTAGTAAATCCCCCACTAACACATATGTCAGCGATATGCGAATCACCGGAAAACCTGTTTGAAAAACCACAAAAAGCTCCGAATGAATTCGAAAAATTTGAACAAAAAAGAAACCCAAAATTAGGATCATTTCAGTTATTCAGATAAGACCTCCAAATACAGTTAAAAACACTGCAACCCGAAAGACTAGAAGAACAAAGCAATCCATCTACAAGTAAAGAAGTTCGAGAAAAGGTAGACAACTCTGAATCGGACACGGTACATTCATATATGAAAAATCCAATTATAAGAGTTCCATATGTAAATAAAGCTCTTAATACCTTTAAAAATGAAATTATATTTAAATGGACGTATTTAACACAACCTCATGCGAGAACAGAAAGATTATTTGACACCTAGAAAAGACTTATGATGTAGATTAACAAAAACCCAACAATGGAAGAAATTCAAAAGCTTCTACGAGACAATTTACCCCCAGACACTTACTGTTTACATTTCCCTAATAAAGAACTAGAACCACTAATTATAAGGACCTTCCAGGAAACGTTTCAAAATAATGCATTTAAACTCGTCATTTCTAACACGTTACCCGAAGATGTAAAGGAACAGAAAAAACAGAAAGAAATAATAGAAAGATATCACACTACAAAGACATCACATCGAGGAATGACAGAAAACATAAACAATATTAATTCTTTAACCTAAACGAAAACTGCTACAAAATCGAGGACATCCTTATGCCACAGCAATCTGCTCAATAAAAACAAACCCTGTATTCCACAAACAATTAAGCTATCTAATCATTGTCCAATGATTTCAATTGAATATAAAGAAACCTCTGCTACTCAATTAAATGATAACTCTATTACAGTTATCCCGAATTCCCGAGAAAATATAAATTTTCATTGCCCAAATGAAGAAAGTGCCGAAATAATGAATAAAGCAAAAATAATAACTACGACTCTCAAAGAGGAAGTATAATTAATAGCTATTCAATAGCTATTAATGAAGAATTGGTTCAAAATATCGAACCACTACAGTTGAGAGAAATTAATGTTGAAAATATAAAAGAAGACATGGAAAGTGCTCGAAACCTAGTAAATCAGCCTCTAAAACTCTGGTATTCCGATTACTGTAATAGTTATTATAAGTACACTAATAGTAATTATTGTATTTTATTATTATTACCTAAAAAGAAAACAAAATGTAAAGGTGGGCATAGAACTAAAAACTCTCGAAAATCAACCCCGAGTTTCTCAAACTTGATTAGGGAGCGGTTATATGGCCACTTATGATAAGTATGTTAATAAAGAATAGTATTACGAGATATATGCTTATTCAGCAGCTTTAATTATATAAATACGCGCCCTAATCATAAGATAGGACAGTCATTAAGTCGCTTTGCGTCAGTAAATATTGTGTGTTACTTGTAATTTAAATAAAAAAACGTTTTTAAAAATACGAGTTTCACATTTTGAAATAAAATTAATCCTATGTTAAGTTAAGCATACAAAAAAAAGAATACGACAGTAAGCTAAAATATATTTAAACAAAAAGCTATCAAGACCGAATTATGAAATCTGATAATAAAATGAAATTTATGTGGGCAATAACTGAAGATATTACAGGAAATATTAGAAATGATGATATTCAACTAGAGGGAAATTCTAAGCGCATAGCTAACAAATGTAATAAATATCTAACATCCATAGTCCCAAATATACTTAAAAACATAAAACAAAATCCGTACCAATTCAGTATAATACCTAACAACCAGTCAATGTACCTAAAACCTGTCACTCCTGAAGAAATTTGTCAGCTAGGCTCTGAAATAAAAAACAAATATAGCAGTGGCATAGACGAAATACCAACTAGTATTATTAAAGATTCTGTAAATGAGTTAAAAGATATATTGTGCCTTTTAATTAATAATTTATTTAAAAATGGAGAATTTCCTGACGGGTTTAAAATATCACTAGTGAAACCATTATTTAAGAAGGGTAACCCCCAAGACTTGGACAGTTATAGGCTCATCAGTTTATTGCCTGGATTCTCTAAACTCTTTGAACTGGCTATGTATAAACGCCTAATTAACTTCTTAACAAATTGTAAGTTACTACACAATAATCGACATGGATTTTTAAAAGGAAAATCGACTCAAACAGCAATCTTCCAATTTATTAAAATAATTTTGCAATATTTTGAAAAACGGGAAGTAGCAACGGGGATATTTTTGGATCTAACCAAGGCTTATGACTCTCTGGACAGAGATTTACTGTTAAGGAAATTGGAAAGATATAGGGTTAGGGGTAATGGACTTAAGTGGTTGCAATCCTTCCTTAATGGGCGAATGCAGGTAGTGGGAGTTACTAAAAATGGTGAATCCAGTAAATCCGACATTGTAACTAACGAATACGGAATCGTCCAGGGCAGTATTTTAGGGCCACTTTTGTTTGTCATTTTCATAAATGATCTGTATATCGAAGCAGAACACCCCTGTCACACAATACTTATTCATGCTTATTCATACTTTGATAACTGGCACCAAAAACCCAAAAACGTGGCACAATTGTTAAGCGATAGCGGTAGTTTTTTCGTAGAGGTAAAACAATGGTTTAATCAAAATAAACTAATTCTTAATACAAATAAAACGAACATAATAATCTTCAAAACAAAAAAATCAAAATTAGAAAATATGACAAAACTAGAAATCGCGGAGAATGCATTTGACGTTTCGGAAAGTGTTAAGTTTTTGGACGTTTTCGTTGACGCAAATTTGGACTGGACATTTCATAGAAATCACTTACTAAACTAAATTCAATATTTTATGGAATTAGAGTTCATGGCAAGTATTTTGATAATAAAACCTTAAAAATAGTTTATTTTGCAAACTTGAAATCTGTACTTAAATACGGAATAATATTCTGGGGGCGTCACAGAAGAAGAAGAAGAAGCATTATACGAGAAACACCAAGGTATTATTCTCAACGGTACAGTTATAAATAACTTCAGATACGCGGACGATACTGTGCTTCTCGCGAGTACGCTGGAGGACCTGCAGGAACTTTTGAACTGCGTGGCAGACAGAAGTAGGGAGATGGGACTCAAGCTGAACATCAAAAAGACTAAATGGCTAGTAGTAAGCAAACATAGAGATGTGTGGGGTGATTTGGAGTACGACGGAAAACCCATAGAACGCGTCCAACATTACAAATATTTAGGCTGCATACTTAACGCAGAGTGGGACAACACACAAGAGATAAGATCCCGAATAGAGCAAGCCCGGGGCGCCTTCGTTAAAATGAAGGCCGTGTTATGCAGCCGCGATATCGATTTAGCTTTGAGGATTCGCATTCTCAAATGCTATGTCTTTAGTGTGCTCATGTATGGGGCCGAATCGTGGACGCTGACCGAAACCATGTGCAGAAGACTGGAGGCTTTCGAAATGTGGACATACAGACGCATGCTGCGAGTCTCGTGGGTTGACAGAGTCCGAAATATAGACATATTAAATCAACTAAACAAACAAACAGAAGTCATACACACTATCAAAAAGAGAAAACTAGAATATTTCGGACATATTCTACGCAACACAAAGTACCAAATACTCCAACTCATTATGCAGGGCAAGATAGATGGTAGGAGAGGCCCAGGCCGTCGCAGAACTTCCTGGTTGAAGAATCTGCGGCAGTGGTATGGTGTTGGCGCCAGGACACTTTTTAGAAGAGCGGTGGACAAAGTCCAGATCGCGCTGATGATCGCCAACGTTCGATAGGACAAGGCACGCTAAGAAGAAGAAGAAGGGCGTCACAGTAGAACACAAGATGTATTCGTATCACAGAAAAGAACAATTAGAGTTTTAATGAAAATGGACAGAATTCAATCTTGTCGAAATGTCTTTAGTGAGATGTTAATTTTGACGGTGCACGCCTTGTACATCTATAAATGCCTAATGTTTTTACATAGAAATTTAAACCTTTTTCACCATTTAAGAAATAGTTATAGAGAAACCAGGGCGGACAGTTTTAACTATCCGATACACCGCCTTCAAATTACTGAATCAGGCCCGGAATATATGTGGTTAAGTTTTACAATAAGTTACCACTGCATATTAAACGGATTGAGAGTCAACGTTTGTTCAAGACGAAAATTAAACAGTTGTTAATCCAGTTAGAACCTTATTGTCTTAATGACTACCTTAATATGTAATATGTAATCGGCTAGTTAATTTATTTGTGATAGACTTATGTTTGACGTCATTTCATTTTGTTATATGTGACAAATTTGAAATAAATATTATTATTATTAAGTTATGTACATCACAAGTATATATATTATCAAATTTTTTGAAATCTCAAACTTTTTTTGCCTGCTTTTTTTTTATTTATCAGGAAACAGGTCTAAATAAGCCTGACCAAACATACCTTAAAACTTTCTCATCAATAATACCAAAAGTAAATAATATATAGAGCATTCCATTTAAAATTAGCTAGACAACCGGAAGTAAAACAATAAACACCCCATTTCCTCGAATTTCACCGGGCTCTTGAATGTAACCGAAAAAATATTTGGATCTTTTAGTTTTCTGGCGGTGATTTATTTTTTATATATTTTTTTTATTATATTATTATTATTTTTGCAGGTCAGACATTCTTCCGCCGTCGTAACAAATTATAAAAGCTCATTTCTTGGGGAAATCATGATAAAGTTGGATCATATTCCGCTTCGTTCGTTCGATGTTACCTAACTATAAATATAACCAATCTGACACTAAATAGCCTTAACGCTAACCAAAAATGATAGAATTCTGGCAATAAATGCAACACTCGTCTGCAGCTGGCCTCTCGTATTTTACGCTTAATGGCTTCTCTGAAATGTTTTAATATATGTTTGCTCTTCTAAAAGAATGTTGAAACTTTTGTTTTGCTTTAAGGGAAAACAGATAAACTAAAAATTATGGCCCTTCTAGACCACTTCATAACGCTATTTGTTTACTGTTATTTTTATCGTTCTGTGGGTAGTTTTACAGGTAAACTCTAAAGGTTTCTTCTCTCGGGCTCCTGAGCGATTTGGAATTACCGTTATTGTTCTCTGAAATATTATTCAAAAACTAAAAATATTTAATGCTAGTATTTTACATGTTTTCTTTAGCATTTACATATAATAAGTGCAAGAATACTTGAATCGTATTCTTGGTAAAAGCAGTATCATCGTTCACTGCGACATCACATTAATGTGATCTTCCTCAACATAAGCGTTCTCGTAGAATATTCCTTATAACTGCAACTGGTGCTTCATTTATAAATCTTTAACGATTTCTTTAAAACATAAAAATATTAATGTATTTTTATAAGAACGATAACCCAATTGTCACATGTAAATGTAATAGCAAAACCAAACATGACTTTAATTCCTCTAATTTCATTTACCCTGTGCAAATTCTTTTCAATTACACACTTACAAAAGCTATACTCTTAAAAGCAGGATAGTTTTTTAAAAACCAACCGTACTAAAAGCCCTACATTTTTGAAACACTTACTCTTTTAAGAGTACGTTATATATAAATTCGTTTTTCTAGAATTTTTAGTAAAAACCGGAAATAATAAAGGAAAATGCACTTAGATAATCAAAATGCTTTTCGGCATAGAATGAACATTACTGAATTTAGTTAATATAAAATTAACTGTATGTCTTTTGTATCCTTGTAATTAAATTCTATTAATTTAATGATACCTCAACAACACATCCATCTCCAATTAATGATGTCATATTGCCTCGATGCTGATTGGTTGATGATAAATTGTCAAGGTTATTCCAAAGTTTTGATACTCAAAATAAAAACATTTATAGCTACTATTACTATGATTATTACTATTATTACAAGCTCGTTAAATATTACACTACGTCACACCTACACGCACCTGACTAACATGAAGGGGTAGCCCGAGAGGCACACACACCTGGATTTATCATCATATTTTTTGGTTAAAAATCTTCTTTTACTTCGAATGACACTCAAATCCCAGCAGGCCTCCTCCATTTGATTGTTAGATTGCAAATTGCTAACGTGTTTCTAATTCGAGTATGACGGTCCTCTGACCGATGTAATAGGTTTTATATCTCACAGCATATGAAATAAGGCTTCTTTCAAACATTTGCAAAATTATAAACAAAAATATCCGACATAATTTACAACCAACCCGATAGTATTGTTTTACTGTAAATAAAAGGCATAACTTTACTTCTTTATAGCTATTTCCATAATAGTGTTGTCCTTAATTATACTTAAACTATAAACCATAAACAAATGGATACTTAGGGAATTATCAATAGAACACATACTTTTCTCAAAATTTCTGGATTCCGCCTGCGTCGGTTTTTGAAGAAGGCAACAGGATCATTGGCGAATCATTAGCTAGTTCGACTCAACAAAAACCGACGCAGGAGGAATCCAGAAGCTTTATAAAAAGTATTACAGTAGCCTGTGCAAGTTTCTTTGAAAAATTAGAGGAACCAAGAAGTTTCATAACAAGTATTAGAGTAGCCTGTGAAAGTTTCTTTGAAAAATTCTTGACCCATGTTACAATTTATTCTACACATTATACTCTGTCGACCTAACGTGCGAAAAGTGTCATTTTCATTACCTATTGCTGCGAGACTCTTTGGACATTTCTGAGATATTACCATACGGCAAAAAACTAACAATTGTAGAAAACGTATAGTATGCACACGTTCGGTAAACTTTTTAAGTCACTCGTTTATTAAGCACTCGCTTTGCTCGCACCCAATAAACTCGTAAGTCAAATGCCGTTTACTACACTTGTAGCGTAATATGCTATTAATTAAAAAAATATTGAATAACTTATTTTGCCTTGGGATAGAGTTAGACTAAAATATCTGTTGAAACCATACCAGAACGCTGGGTCAATTAAAAAATGTTAATTAATGTGGACTATAGAACTCCTATAGCTAATATTAACGAAGATCTACGGATAGATTTGCAATTCAGCAGCAATATATCTAATAAGGAAAAAAAATAGAATTTCGAAAATACGAAAACGTTTTAGTCCAAAGTTTCTCGGTATAAAAAATATACACATGCAACTAGCCGGTCACGATAACCCTGTCCATTCGATTCTCAGTATTCCGTAAGAGTCTCGAAATTTTCACAACCCTAGGACTTTTAATTTCGCCCTCCGAGCCTCAACGGTAATCAAGTTCACCAGCCACAATAAATTAAGCGCGGAATCAGGGAGCCCATAAAATGAAGTCGTGGCCCAGTTTTCCTCCTTTTTTCTTTCGAATCATTTGCGTTTCGCAGGCAATGCCATCGTTAGCAGTTTGTGTATGTGGGGAATTATCGACTTTTTTTTCTCGAATGGGGTGATTAATTATTATTTTTCAATTAGTGCCTTTTTTTATTTGACTTATTATGGAGCGCCATAAAGAGCGCAGTGGCAGCCTCAATACATGTGAAGTCATGCTTTGGGCATTGAGACGCCACGAGCAGAACAGAAATAAACAAAGTAGATTACAAAGTAATTCCTAGTTATCCCTCAACTAGGTTTTACACATTTTGCATGACGAACCAAAACTTAAAATATCCAGGGTCTTTGATGATTAAATTAAATCAGGCAGCAAGTTAAAAGTTACACTAAGTAAAACACATTTTTAATAATCTTATTGGTTACCAAATCTAAAAATCTTGTTGATTAATCGGTTCCTTCAATATAATATCACGTAAAATGCAAAAAAACATAATACTTAAAGATCGGAGGTAAACTAGGAATAATGAAATGCACTTAAATATTCTGTGGAGCCGTATAAATTTTGGAAGTGTAATGCATATACCTTTTATTAAAAGGGACATGCTCCAGATATACAGAATAATAGGTAACATAACATTTCGAGTTTTTGACTTCAAAATGTTTTTTTTTTTGCTTTAAAATTATTTCTGTTGGGAAGTACAAAACAACTTTTCGTAATTGCAACATTCATTCATTTATATGTTGTATATAAATGTAGCAACGAGATTTATTTGTTACACTATACTTCTGTAATTTCAGTAAATAATTAATTAATAATGTCGTAGTTAAGTACTTAAATCTGTTCCCATAAATTTAAAAACTTTTATAATAAACTAGTGTTGGATGTTGGAAGTTTTTAAAAATTTTGTTTAATCGAGTCTAGACAACAAATTAATATTTTCCCAAAAATCAAACAGTTTCTTTAAGCATGTAAGATACATTTCCTATTATATGAGGAAATCAGTTGCATGTTTTATTTCTTAACAATCAATTTATATGTATATAAAAATTCATAGCGTATATTTATTAATAAAAACTATTCATATACCATGAAATATAAAAATTATCAGTTTCCAAATAAAGAAATAATAATATAAATAATCAAAATCAGAACGAACTCGTGAAACGCCATTCTTAATTTCTTACGGCGACAGTCTAACAAAAAAAGTATTTAGATAATAAAAGCAGTAAAACAGTGGTTATGGTCGCCTCCAACTTCTCAGCTTTAACATCCAATTTACGTTGCTGAAAGTTTTTTGATAAAGATAGATATCATCCGAAAATCAAGCCGAAGTAATTACGAAGATCTCTCTCGGTATTAAGTTTACTGGGTCGTCCAATCCAATCAGAATCTCGTTCCCTCAAGTAACTGCGCAAATCTATAATGGCTTACCTTGACTAAAGGAATAGCATGGACTGCCGAGAGTTGAATTAAACTAGAATAATGGTTAGTACGTATCGCAGAATA